ATCCCTTTGCTGAGAACTGGTTTCTCTTGATAAACCTATTACAGAAATGGCAGGAGCTGAGTTTAAGACTCAAGGGGAAGGGGGAAGGTGCTTTGGGGGCTGGAAACATGGGAGAAAACAATTTTCAGATTACTACTGTTAAATTTGATGGTTCTAATTACGTGGAATGGGCTCAGTCAGCCATGATGGCGATTGGGGGCAGAGGGAAGTTAGGTTATGTGAATGGAGATGTAAAGAAACCAGCCGGAAGACCCTTCATATGCCAAATGGGTTCAAGAGAACTATTTGGTCATGACTTGGCTGTGTAACTCCATGCAGCCTCATATTAGCCACAATTATTTGTGGTAAAAAACAGCCAAGGAAATTTGGGAAGTGGTGAAGGAAACATACTCTCAACCACTCAATGTTGCTAGGGCCTATGAACTGAAATGTGAAGTAAATAATCTCAAACAAGGGGAGAAGCCAGTTTCAGTTTATTTCTCCACTTTGAAATCTTTATGGCATGAAATTGATCAACTGGAAACTATTGAGTGGGAAAGTCAGAAGGATGCAAAAACCTATAGAAAACAAGTTGAGACCAACCGGGTTTTTGAGTTCCTAGATGGTTTGAATTCATAGTATGATAGTGTGAGACAACAATTACTCACAAGGGAGAGTGTGACCTTATCTCAAGCCTATTCTCTAGTGCCTATTCCCTGGCAGCCGTGAAACCAAAATTTGGGGGTGACAAGGAAAGGGACATAAAGGAGGATAAGAATGATTTAGTTTGTGGCCACTGTAAGAAGCCGAAGCATACCAAGGACACTTGTTGGAAGTTATATCCACATTTAATGCCAACAAAGCTCAGAAATAAAAAGGGGAATGCCAACATGGCTATTAGTACTAATGGTGCATCCTCTTCTAGCACAAGAGCCACATCCCTAGACACTTTAGCTGCTGTCCGAGCTGCTCTGACTTAGTTAGAAAGTGAAGTTGGTACTTCAGCCCCCTCATCTCAGCCACTGATTACATCTGCTACTCCTACTTTGGCATTTGCTCATTCGGGTACACGAGCATCAGCATATCATGTTTCAGACCCAGGTAACAATGGACCTTGTTGGGTCATAGATTTAGGTACATCTGACCACATGACAGGCTTATCTTCTCTGCTTACTACTTATTGCTTATCCTCTGGTAGAGATAGAGTATCCACTGCTGATGGATCCCTTGTTCCCATCTCTAGGAACGGAAACATTAGATTATCGGATGCCATCTCCTTGTCCTCAGTTTTGCATGTTCCTAAACTTAGTACTAACTTGTTGTCAGTTAGTAGCATCACTAAAAATCAAAACTGTTCAGTGACTTTTTTCCCTAATTGATGTGTTTTTCAGGACTTGGAGACAAGAAAGGTGATTGGGATTGGCCGTGAGACGAATGGAATCTACCTGATTGGAGAGTGTTTGCATGGGGAAGATAAAGAAGTTGGAAGGTCTTTTGTTTCTCAACCTGAGTCAGATTATGCTTTGGCATAATCGGTTGGGTCATTTGTCTTTTAAGTCTTTAAGGAGTTCTTTCCCAGTTTGTTTAAGTCAATCCATATGTTCAGTTTAAAATGTGAAAGCTGTAAACTTGCAAAGCATTTTAGAACAACCTATTCTTTGAGCAATAAAAGAAGTACTATTCCTTTTGAAATTGTGCATATTAATGTTTGGCGACCATATCATATCACTGCTATGGGGGGATACCGATACTTTCTGTTGTTTGTTGATGATTATAATTGTTTTTCATGGGTTTATCTTATGCATGTTAGACAGTGTATGCCCTTAGCTCCAATCAGATTGATGTACTTTTGACATTTATTATAAATGAATAGTAGTACATAATTGATTCATGTTATATATGGTATGTTTCTGTGTAATACCCTTAAACTGGACACTTATGAGAGTCGTGTTAGTTTAGAATCTTCACAGCCGTTGGATAAACCTGGGGAGGTTTATCCTGCCAAGGCTGACACTAATGTGTTGCCAAGTCGGTTGGGGTGGCTTGTCTCAGCTACCAGGGTGAGACCCGAAGCACATGTAGTGTGGGTTTGCTTGAAACTCTGAACCGGACAATTTTCCAGTTATGCCTTGGACCTTGTAGACAGATGGGCAAAACTGGAAAGTTATACCTAACCCCTAGATTCGATTATGGTACTGCACTAGGTGTTGGATTGGGTTGTCTTTGATATGCCAATCAGTGAGATCCTTAGCGGGGGTCAAAACCTAGGTATGCTGGGGCAGTCTAAGAATTTACCTGAGTGGGTGATCATAGTGACAGAATCAGCCCCTTTATCGGACAAAGTGAATGATCGGGGACTGCACTCTCTCTGATGGAAACCAAAACTTCCGGCAGTCGATTTCAACCGTGTTGAGATTTGTTTTGCAAAATATATTTATATATAGATATACATATATTATGTTTTTATAAAAAAGGTTTGCAAAAGGTTTTAATTCCCGGAATCCATCATGAGCAGAGAGTGCAACACTGCACCTTGCAGCCGAGGGAGAGGTCATCTCTTGTCGAGCAGTGTTTGATCATTATGGGCTGAGAGGTTAAGTGTAAGACCATTTAGGGCTTTTACCTGATGGGCTAATCTCACTTAAGTCCATAGTCCTTGGGCCTTCATAAGGTGGCTGGACCCAGGGACCATTTAGTGTAAATGTTGGGTCTGCTAAGAGCCCATACTGATGGGCTCAGGGGCTCACTATGTTCAGCAGTGAATTCAGCTAGGCCTTGT